ATTACCTCCATACTCTGTAAAGTTATGGAAAGAGTACTTAACAGTAAGTTGTTGTCATACCTCGAATCTAATGATCTCCTTAGTGACCGTCAATATGGCTTCCGCCGGGGACGGTCTACTGGGGACCTTCTTGTGTATGTCACGCACTGCTGGGGCGAGGCCATCGAAAACCGTGGTGAAGCTCTAGCAGTCTCACTCGATATTTCGAAGGCATTTGATAGGGTTTGGCACGCAAGTCTACTGAGCAAGCTTCCTGCTTACGGCATCCCCTCCGACTTCTGTAACTGGGTATCCGACTTCTTAAACGAACGGTCGATCAGAGTAGTCGTTGACGGTTGCTCTTCTGATTCAATGACTATCGAAGCCGGAGTTCCACAGGGGTCTGTTCTCTCTGCGACTCTCTTCCTGCTGCACATCAATGACCTGCTTTCACCTGGTATTGTTGCGTATGCAGATGACAGCACAGTCATAGAGAGCTATGTGTCCGGTGCAAGGGACGGAGGGGTAACAATATGCACTTTGAGAGAGGCCATGGTGGAGCGTACAAATGCAACCTTAAGTCTTGTGTCACAATGGGGTGACGACAATCTGGTTGACTTCAACGCCGCCAAAACGCAGGCCTGTTTGTTCTCTGCAAAAAGGAGTCCATTCAGCCTGACTCCTACTTTCCGTGGTGCACATGTGGAAGTATCCGACGGTCTAGAGCTTCTCGGTATAAGGTTGAAGGCAAACCTTAACTTTGGCGATGACATCGAGTCGAAGGCACAGACTGCGGCCAAAAAACTGGGTATCCTAAACAAGGTTAAGCGATACTTCACGCCTGGACAGCTTCTCAATTTATACAAAGCCCAAGTCCGATCATGCATGGAGTATTGCAGTCACCTTTGGGATGGCTCTGCAAAATACCAACTTGCCGCTCTTGACTCGGTGGAACGCAGAGCTAAAAAGCTAATCGGCGACGAAAAGCTTGTGAAAACTAAGCTTCACAGCTTAGCACACCGTCGCCAAGTTGCTTGTCTGTCGGTTTTCTACAGACTGTACTTCGGGGAGTGTGCCCACGAGCTCCACAGTCTCATACCGCCATCGCCATTCTTATATCGGAACACCAGACGTACTGCAGGATACCATCCTTTCTTGGTTGACATTCCGACCACTCGCACTAAGCGCTATTCATCATCTTTTATATTGCGCACAGCCAAGAAATGGAATGCCCTGCCTGCGTCTGTTTTTCCGAGAGCGTACAACTTGAAACTTTTTAAGGTGCGTGTCAACAGGCTTCTCCTGGGCAAACTCGGTACATCATAGACCTTATCTATACATTTAAAGTAAGATGAAGGTCAAGAGTGAGCCTATTTTTAATAAAAAAAAAAAAAAAAAAAAAAAATAAGACACACAATTCCACCATACATTATTTCGTTATATCATAAAGGGTTTAGGCAGCGTTTTCGTTGAAAGCTCCCAGACGGCTTATTTTTTCTGACACCTCTAACAAATATCGTTATGTTTTAGCCAATGAATATAAAAACTTGAAAAATTATATACTAAAACCTTTCTCTTGAATCATTCTATCTATTATAAAACCGCATCAAAATCTAACCATACATAGAACAGACAGACAGCGGGATGCGACTTTGTTTTATACTATGTATGTAGTGTACATGATTATATATATATATACACATATATATATATATATATATATATATATATATTATATATTATACAAGCGACTTACACTTGCTTCGCTCGAATGCGTACTTGGGAACCTTTTGTATTTTTAATATTATTTTCAGTGTACAAAACTTGATTCAAATCCGTTCCGCCGATTCAGAGCAAAGGAGTAACAAACCTACATATAATAATTAATTTATTAACTATAAATATTTATGATTCTTTAATCGTAATTATTTTTAGTTTGGTTAGCCGTGGTATAGGTATAAAATGTTTTCCTTTTTGCGTGAATATTAGTCATCTCTACATATAATAAAATTGTAACTAAGCCAAGAATATGTACATTAAATATTTTGTGGAAAATCTTATTGAAATAAACATTATAGTTGATACTAAGACCGAATCTATAGTTTTCAGAATTTTTGTCTGCCTGTTACCGCATCACGGGAAAACCACTGGATAGATTTTGATGATATTTGCTATGATGATAGCTGGTTATACGGTTCAACATATAGGATACTCTTTACCGCGGGAAAATATCTCATTTCTGAGAAAAAAATAGGAAATCTGCAATGTAAGAGTATACTAATATGTAAAACCTAAGAATTCGGTTTTTGGTCACCTGAATGCGGGCGGAGCCGCGGGCAATGCTAGTTTCAAATAAAACTATCTATTTTTTTCGCGGATTTATTTTCAATTCTGGTTCCCACCACCACCACCACCAAAAATCCAACCATCATGAGCGGAAACCAAAAATCAAAGTAAAACCGCGAAAAAATGCGAAAACATAGTTAAAATTTAGATTCATAGAATAAAAGGTTATAAAAAAATATGTCAAAATAACCCACGGCTATAAATTACGTATTTCGAAGATAAAAAATATTACCCCAACTGGGTCAACATTATCAAATATGGTGGTAATACCTGAGAAACCTATAAAAATAAGATTACTCGTTATTTGGGTCTGCATTGACGTCACTTCGACCTAAAGAACTATAGTAATCCACTTCATTGTTGTAGTAATCTACGCGATAAAATACAATACTATATAAATACTTTAGTCACTATCGTTTGTTTATTACTCGCTGTGCACTGCACGTTCAAACGTAACGTTAACGAAATGTTCGAAAGGATAAAGACATTTAAACGTAAATCATAGTAAATTAAGTGTTATACAACCTTTTTTTGTTTTTTTTTTTTTAATTTAATAAGTATATATAAATTAAATGGAATCTTTTAATGGATCTCTGACAAGTGATGTGGATAATAATGATAATTCAAATACGTTTGTTACTTTTGTGTGGTATCTAAGTATGTCGTGCATTTTGGTTTTGTTCACAATTTTCATAATAGCGGCAGGACGACTCATACAAATAGGTATGGATCATATTATATCAATAATTTAAATAACTTATTAAAGATAGTGTTAAAGTTGTAAAAAAATATATATATGAAAGCCCTATGGACGACCCTATTCATCGTCTCAATGGTTTTTTGTCCAAAGTACCAATTTACTAACAGACTTTTTAATATAGATATTGAATTTAAATGTCGCTTTTAATATATACATATGTATATAAATCTTAGAATTAAAGTTTTGTTTTTAAAATAGCGAAAAAAACTATCTACTGTTAAGTACAACAAGTATTGGTACTTTGAATAATTTTTAATAAGCTGTATGAACGACTCTAATGCACTATTAAAGGAGCTATTTAAATTTTTTTTAAATTAAATTCGAGTTAAAATACAAGTTTCACAAAGAATTTATTTCAATAATTATACTTTAAAACAAGAAATAATAATATTTATTCTTTACCTTTCAACCCTCTTTTTTATTCTTTTTTACTATTTTATTCTAAATCCAACCACAGATTTAAGTATGAGCAATATAGAAACTGTTCGTATCTAATCTTGTTTTAATCAATATTTATTAAGTACTTAATCTTTATATTATACTAGTGACATTTTTTACAACTGTTATGTTGTTTTTGTTGATATAACAGAACGGTATTCATTTACTACAGATACCTTATCAGATATTTTCGAAGTCTGTGCTAGCCGATGCAAAGTAAAGCAAATCTATTTCAATACGTATAAATAAATCACAAATTGATATAAAAAACATACATACAGACGAACATAGAACCTCCTCTTTTTTGGAAGTCGGTTAAAAATGAGGTACACTTAAAAGTAATTATACCACCTCTTGGGGTGGAATGTTATTTTAAATTTTTATACCTAACACCACTATTGTGGTGTAACGGGTTCATTAAAAGAGAATTAGAGAAATTTATCCACAGTTGGTGATGATATCGCGTAACGCACACACGAACAGACAAATCGAGTACCTTTTTTAATTGCTATGTTATGAAGTCAAACTAATAAACCAATAAACATCAGTAGACACATACATGGGTGTTACATTTACGATATTTTTATAAAGTTTCAAGTATTTTAAAAATATATTTTCATTTTGACTGAGTCAAATATCTTTTAAGCTAATTTTGATGATAAAAATGAATCATTAAAGCCTAAAAAGTAACAAATTAATATACTTATTTTTTATTAGTGCTTCAAAAAAAAATTTTTTTTCAATAACAATAGCATAAGAAGCTCAGGGAGAATAAGATAACAAATTTGCATTCAGTAAAATCTAGTCATATTATTATGACAAATAAATTATCATATGATTAGACCTTGACATAGACATAGAGTGGAAAGAGTGTTTGTTTTTCAGCCTTCAGCTAAAAATGGCGAAAGGTGAGACAGAGACAAAACGAATGTACGGCCAGAAGTCGTCTGTATTAATTTAAATACGATAAACATTTACAAACAACTAGCATTGCCCGCAGCTCCGCCTGCGTTCAGATGGCCAAAGCCAAAGTCTTAGGTGTTACATATTAGTATACAAAACACAAAAACACAAAAATTCTAAAAACTATAGATTCGGACTCTGTATCGATAATAATGTATATTTCAATTAGATTTTCCAAAAAATATTTAATGTACAGATTCGACTTAGTTACAATTTTATTATATGTATAGATTTACAGTCCATTATAATATTATAATTTTTAATAAATTATAATATTATAATATTTTAATCAATAATTGGAATAAAAAACCATATTGGTCGAACGTTTTAGAGAGTGGTCAATTTTATGACAGTATTGCTCAGTTCATTCTCTACGTCTATGACATAAACTTATAAAAATAAAAATTCTATATCCTCTTTGTAGGGATGATGACTCGCGTGATTTTAGTTCACGAAATCAAACACTCTTGTAATGCAATATTTTTGTTAATTTATTCTTCATATTTCTTTCCAGGACAAAAGACTCGGAGCACGCAGCAGAGGCGAACGTACATGGGCTCTCGTCAGCGGCCGTCAGAAATTCAGGAGCCTACCATCTACGTCAGTCCTGCCAACTTGCCACCACCGCCCAAATATGGTGAGATATGAGGATAATAATATTAAATATATGGAACTCTTATTATTTCGTCATGTCCGTCTGTTGGTATGTCACAGTCTCCGATCAACAGTAGTATTGTTTATCGAAGATCACAGCCATTTTTCTCGTAGACTACTGAAGATAAATGTCACATGATAAATAAATAGGTTTCGAATGGAAGCGCCAGACAATTCTGCAGTCAAATCACAAAAAATAAATGCATCGTTGACTGAATGCAAATAAATAAAGAGGGCCTCAATTCGGCGTGTTTTTTGTGTAAATATTACTTAATATCTTCATTAATTGGCGATCGATTCTATTGATTTTTTATTGATTCAAAATAAATAAAAAATAATAACCTTTAGGAAGTTTTGATATATGTTTAATATTGAGTATTGAGTAATGAATCAGAATTCTGAATGATATATACAATAAAATATAAGATATTAGAAGTTTAATCTATTTATTTTCTTTATTACAGAGGCGATGGCGCCGCCAAGCTACGAAGAGGTAGTGGGCATCCACTATCCGAACTACCAACCACATATACAACCGATCACACAACCATTATCAACAGCTCTCGCTCAAAGTTCCTACCCTGAAAGTGGTCGTTCTCGTAACGAAAACACAACTGGTAACAGTAACACAACCGAGAACGCCAATACAGTTGGTAACAACAGCGGTAACAGTTCAGTTCCCCCATCAACAGTCGTACCTATTATCACCGACAACCGGACAACGGTCACGGTTGCAGCTTCATGAATTTAATTCGGTTGTTCAGATTAATATAAAATGCTAGTTCGGTTCGCATTTAACGGGCTTAGTACATGAATGTTATGTACTATATTTGGGGGGGTTATAAAATTTTGAAAAAATCTATTTGTATATAAAATAAAAAATTTAATATATAAATAGGTTTTAATGAACATTGCTTATTTCTTTGCACATATATTTTAATATAGAAATAAAGCAATCCTATTTTTGTATGTACATATATTGAAAATTGATATCATTGAAAGTGTAACATGAACAAGTTATATGAGATTTTTTAGTAATAATTTTCAGTCTAAGAGGACGTGACTGTTTATTTTTACGTTTTAAAAACGATGAAGTTGTATAATTTATAATATTTACGTACTTGTAAGTATATCATGTTATATTTGTAAAATATATTTATTAAAAATTTATAATACACGATTAGATATAAGGAATGCTTCTTTTATTTCACACTGTTGTAAAATAAATCTTTATATATATAATTCTTTTGTGAGTGTGTATGTCACTGAACTTCTCTCAAACGACTGGACCGATTTTGATGAAATTTTTTGAGTGTGTTCAAGGGGATCTGGGAATGGTTTAGATTCACAATTTGAATAATAATTTTCATCAAAAAATTATTAAAAAAAGTTTGAAATTTTCAAATTAAAGACGTGTAGACAGGACAACGTCGGTCGGGTCCGCTAGTATATATATATATGATGTTCTCCTAGCCGATTCCGGCCACGGCGGCCAATTTCATTGAGATTAGCCAACTGCGCAGGAGATATTATAGTTCACAAGTGTACGCGCAGACACAAGTGCACTCTCTCTTCCTGTCACTCTCATACTCCGGTTGGACGACTGTTCGACACGACCGGTGAGAGTTAAGGCGCAGGACCGACGGCTTTACGTGCTCTCCGAGGCACGGGGGTGAAACACCGCCAACTTCCCAATTCCGGGCTGTTACTGAGGCTTACTATACAGAAAGACTCGATAACTAAACTTGGCCCGACCCGGGACTCGAATCCAGGACCTCCGGGTGTGCACCCGTACATGTTAGCCACTACACCACCGAGGCAGTATATATATATATATATATATATATATATATATATATATATATATTTATCTATGAACTTTAAAAAATATGGATCTCGACATCAGTGCAATCTAAAATGCCGAATTAGGTAGGTATAGCTAAAACCACACAGGAATATCTATAAGTACCTAAACATAATTAAATATCAGATTAGGTCAAGCCATTTTGGAAGAAAAGAATTACCTACTAATACTCTCACATCGGAATTTAATATATATATATATATATATATATATATATATATATATATATATATATATATATATATATATATATATATACTTATATAGTATAATTATATTACCATAAATTACATTTTAACGTTCACATAACAAACGTACTTTATACTTAAATTGCGTACCAATTTATTAAAAGTGACCTTATGTATTGCTATTAACATTTTTGTATAAACGCGCTTGGTCTGAAGAACACTCGCTTTAATTTAATAGCTTATAATTGTACATAAATAAAAAGTTTTAACAAATTTCTGTTTGTTAATACATATTGCAAATTGTACGATTATTATTAATTCGAAAGTTTGTTTATGTGTTTGTATGTTTGTTTCGTGTTGAAAATGCTGTAACGAATTTGGATGAAACACAAAAGTTGGCACTACCTGTTCCTATTTAACACTATAAACCGAAAGAGTACTTAAAGATGCACCCGAGTGAAGACAGGGTAAGTCACTTGTACTTGTGACTTCATGAAATAAGTTTTATTGTAATTGATAGTTTTTAGTCAAATATTTCGGTTACAGCGATCAATCTCAATAATACTAGCCTAAAATGTGGTAAGATTATATTGTAAAGTACAAGTATGCGTACAAAAATAAGTGCACTCTCTATTTTACTCCTTTGAATCTCAAACTGGTGGGATAATTCGACGTTCGCGGTGAGTGATCAGGCGCAGGAACGATGTGGCATGTGTTCACCGAGGCACGGGGGTGAAACACCGCCAACTTCCCAACCCCGGGCTGTTACAGAAAACTTCTTGACAAAAAACTCAATATATACTTGGCCCGCCCCAGCCTCGAACCCGGGACCTCCGAATCTGAATCCGTACATGCTAGCCACTAAACTACCGAGGCAATACGTTTTATCATTCATTAATTAACACAGACATGTTATAACATGCGGACATAATTTAAGTAATTTATATAAGAGATAATACTCGTAAAGTCACTTCCTTCCGTTTCAAATTATAGGCCATCATTGACACGATTATTTTTATTAGCATTTAATTTGAAATATTTGTCGTATGCGTACATGTGGCCAAATAAATTTTATTTTTATTCGCGTTTTTATTATACTAAGGAGAAAAGTTAATGTATGTCTGTTTGTCTGGTTAAATGTATATATTTATATGTATATAGAGGAAATTACAGCAAATGCAACAGCCGATGCAAAGCAAATCTAATATACTTCGATAACTAAAACACATATTTACCTATTAGATTTTCATATCTTAAAATATTGTGGGCCGGCAACGACTTTGAAAATATCTGATTAGGTACCTATTCTAAATGAAAACCGCCGTTTAGTTAATTTTTACATTTTAGTGCCTGGAAGTCGGTATTTTTTTAAGTTTTTTTTGAACATTTTTAGTGTAGACGTAATAAGCAGGTAATTTGTTAGAAGAAAGTTTATTAATAACATGTTCGATTAAGAAATTTATTTTAAAAAATAATTTATTTGTTGATTTAAAAAAAACCGCTTGAATGATTTCGATAAAATTTATATAGAGCCACTTTGGAAGTATATATATACCCTTTGAAACAAAAAAGAAATTTCCAAATCGGTTCAAGCGTTTTGGAGTAATCGGTGAACATACATAAAAAAAAAGATTTCGACGAATTGAGAACCTCCTCCTTTTTGGAAGTCGGTTAATTAAATTAAGATTTATTGTAGTGATGTGCTTGCTGGTTTGCTAAAAACTTTATATTTCCCATTTTTCCTTCTGAGTTAAAGCTTTAGAATTGAATATTCTTAATGAAATTAGTAATTCTACATACAAATTATAAATGGACTCACCACTTTATCGCTCAACGCCTGACTTAATTACGCACAGCATGTAAATAGTGTAATTGCATACATTTTATGTAAATGATCGCTTAGCGGTATGTATGCCGATATCCAAGTAATTACAACTCCTTATAGATCTATGACATTTTTTTATTGGCATGAATCACGTTGGACGTGACTGGGTATGGCATGTTCGAACTTGAGACAACTATAAAAAATATAATTTCTATAGCAATATTATAATAAGAAAAGATATTTCTTAGATTTCGAGAAAAGATATTTCGAGTAGATTTACTCGAAAATTTGATCATCATTTTAAATTTATAAATTAATATTTTTTTCTGTGGGCTGTGTGACCATGATTGCTGTAAAGCATTCGAAACGTCTGGAACCCAAAAATCAAAATAAATCCGCGAAAAAAATTGAAAAGATAGTTTTATTGAAAGAGAGGAAAGATCTGTCTGTCTGTTTGTCTGTTTGTTTGTTTGTAATCGATAAACTCTATAATGACTGAACAGATTTTAATAATCCATTCACCATTGGAAACTTAAGTTATCCACAAGTAATATCTAAGATTATATTATTATAGTTGAACTAGCATTGCCCGCGGCTCGGCCCGCGGTCAGATGACCAAAAACCAAATTCTTAGGTTTTACTTATTAATATACACTTACATTGCAGTTTTTGTATTTGTTCTCAGAAATGACACATTTTCCTGCGGTAAAAAGTATCCTATATGTTGACTCGGATAACCAGCTGTCACCATACTAAATTTCATCAATATCCCTCCAGTGGTTTTTTCTGTGATGCGGTAATAGACAGAGAGACAGACATAAATTCTAAAAACTATAGATTCGGCCTCTGTATCGATAATAATGTTTATTTCAATAAGATTTTCCAAAAAATATTTAATGCACAGATTCGGCTTAGTTACAATTATTTTATTATATGTATAGATATTAGTTTTTGCCTCAAATATTACTTTTATATATTTATCTTTGTTAGTATTATAAATGCTAAACTTTCTGCGTATGTTATCTTTCGAGACCTTAATTGGTGAACTGATTTCAATCAACTATGATAAATTAAAAAAAATGTTGGAGATTTGTACCAAAAATGAGGATAAAATATGAAAATTCTGCTATTGTACGGAAAATATTTTAAGAATGTTTTTATGGCTTGGTATACTTATTTACAGTGATAACATCGGTTTAATTAATAGATGTAGTTTAGTATGAGTAAACAAATATATGATATAAAAATTACTAGCAGAACGCGCGACTTCGCTCGCGTTAAAACTACAAAAAACGCTAAAAAATAGGTTTCATACAAAATTTCATCCCTTATTTTACCCCCTTATGAGATGAATTCCGAAAAATCTAAAACACGTATTTATTTAATTGTATTGAAGAACATTGATACCAAGTTTTAAGTAATTCTAATCATAAATAATTTTTGAGTTGTATTATAACGTGTTTTCCCGTGGGAATGAGAAAATCTCCCGCGGTGGTAAGTAGCCTATGTTACTCTCCAGCCCTCCAACTATCTCCACACAAACAGTTACGTTAATCCGTCACTTGGTATTGACGTAAAAGAAAGACAGACAGACAGACAGACAAACAAACAAACACACTTTCACATTTATAATATTAAGTATGGAATGCTTCTTTTATTTCACACTGTTGTTATATATATATATATATATATATATATATATATATATATATATATATATATATATATATATATATATATGATGTTCTTCTGGCCGATTCCGGCCACGGTGGCCAATCTCATTGTGATTAGCCATCGTGCTTGTGCACAGGAGATATTATAGTGCTCAAGTGTACGCTCAAACACAAGTGCACTCTCTATTCCTA